CATCTCCTTCTTTTTCTTCTTCTCCGGCTACTGCTCTCATTCACCTCTTATTCTTAAACGTTGCAAGACTAGTTCGATAAGATTCTACTACCTGATATTACTCTCCCATATAACAGTGGCGTCAATATGGGAGAATAATATCAGGCTTTATAATCTTTCCCACTTGAAAAAATTGTCCTTGAAATTTACATATCATTGCCCTGTTAATGATTATATAATTTATCATAATTTTTTAAATTTCATATTATATTTCAATAAGACTCACATTACTTAATCTAAATCATGCTCAAATATCACTTTTCTCATCACCTGTTTCGGGACATAAAATGAACTGAAGCGAGAACAGACGTTCGGACGGTGAAATTAAATTTTTTTATTATTCTATTTTCATCACTAATAGTTTAATATCCGCATATTAATTGAAAAAAAACCACTAAAAGTACCAATTTAATTAACCAAAAAAATTTTACCTTTTTAAATGTTGACGTCATCTTTTGTAAATATTATCTCCTCCGTAACCAATCTTCTAATAAAAAATATTACTTAAAAAATATTTAAAACAGCATAATGAGTAATCTCAAATAACTCATTTGAGTAATCACACTTTTTAGGTTACAATAACTTAAAAAAAAGATAATAAAATGTATGTCGATTTCCATATTTCACGACATAAATTTTATAATAACCTAATGCTTGTGTACATGAAATATACTAAAAAATATAAAATTCTATATGCATTAACTTTTACTTTATTTTTCAAAATTTAATCTATAACTTTACTTTTACTTACACTCTTAACTTCCACATTTGTCTCAGGAATATCGTCAAATATACCTAACACACTATTGATTAATATTTTCTCATCGACACAATAATAAATAATCAAAATTAAATAATTGTCTAAGGTTGTGGGTGTCGACTCGTCCCTGATCAATATTATCTCATCGATACAGCGATTAGTGATATAAATTTCACAATTATCAAAGAATTTAGAAAAACATTTATGGGAGTAGAACTATTGACGTCCTCTGCCTGTACTATAAAGGATTGAACTCCTCTTAACACACATACAAGCATTCATATATATATATATATATACATATTTGGCTCGGTTTTGGTCCCTAAATGAATTTGGGACTTCATTCCGCAGCTTTATTATATATATCATGAAATAAACTAAGATATGCACTTATACTAGTATTATAAATTTTCTTATGAACAATCATTATGGAACATGGTTTTTGAAATTTGGTGATTTAATGCTATAAAAGTTAGTTCATGTAAATTACATGAACTAACTATATATTGTTAGTTCATGTAAATTACAGAAAATACAAGTGCCTATAAGACTGCAAGGAGGATGTTAACAGAGAAAAGAAAGTATCTTTATTGGACTCTTTATATTGTTTGTTGACGTGATTTAATGCTATAAAAGTTGGGACAATTGCCGCAACATAAATATATTTTGCTTAAAGAAAAAAGAATAAGTCAATTTATTTACAACCATTCTTGGGTATTAATCTTGGTGAAAAAATTAACAAATAAAAAAATTATCCGACCAACAGTTACAAGATTTGTCATGACTTATTTGGCATTGCAAAGATTTAAAGAGCAACCTTTGAAGGCTATGTTTGTTTCTGAAGGATGAATAAAAATTCCAAAACAAAAAAATCAAAGAAAAAAAAAAGAAGAAAATTATAATGAGAGATGATTTATTCTAGGGCAATGTTAGTAATGCTCTGAAAGACTATAAGACCTTTAATCAAAGAATTACGAATGGTTGATGGTAAGAAGGCTCATGTTACGGGATTTATTTATGAAGCTATAAACAAAACAAAGAAGAAAATAGTTAAAGAATAGGAGGACAAGAAGAAGCTTACAAGGATTACGGGAAATCAATGACGAATGGGATCATCAGCGACATCAACATTTTTATATTGGTGTATGTTATTTAAATCATCAATTTTATTATGAAAAAAATTTTCATGTACATAAAGAGGCTAAAGCCAATTTATTTGCATGCAAGGATAGAATTCTACTTGAATCAAACTATCTTAAGATCACTAATCAAATTAAAGAATTTCATTAAAAGAATGAAATATTTGAATTTAGAGTAATTTATGCATGCTACAAGACACGCTCACTTGATAAAATTTATTTATTTATTATCCCAATTTATATTGATACTTTCATATAATCTTACGCTATAATGTTGGTGGGCACAATTCGACGATGATGTGCCTAAATTCAAAGCATTTGTTGTGAAAATTTTTAGTCTTACTTATTCGGCTTTCACATGTAAGCGTAATTCGAGTATACTAAGCCAACTGCATATATAGAGAAGAAATTAATTTGGTACAACTCGAATAAAAAGTTAGTTCATGTAATGTTCAAAAAAAATTGAAAGATATACACTTGAAATGATGGTAATGGAATAGATCTTTTGACTGCTTCTGATATTATGTCTAATAATGGATGGATAATGCCAAACAATGATGAAGAATTTGAGGTTGATGATGAAGAAATAACTTTCAATGGTGATGACAATGAAGATATCAATATCAATTTTATCATAGAATATGGTCAAAAAAGATATTAAATTTAGAGAAGCTTCTACTTCACAATAACTTATAATAAAAAGATGTCAAGTGCAGTTGGAGCATCAAAAAAATTTAAACGTAATTTCGTAATTAAAGTATAATTGATTACTTGGTTGTGTTACTAATTTATTATTTTGTTTAAAATTATATTGAATTCAATATTAATTGATGTAGAGAATAAAATGAAAGATGTCAACAGAAGAAAATTTTGAAGATGATGGTAACATAAAATTTGCGGATGATAGAGTCATTACAAATGATGATTCTTTCGAAGATGACGAAAATGATGATAATGCCATTATGGATCATGATTCTTGTGGCATATTTAAATTCTAAGTTTAATGTTTGAACGTTCTTTCAAACTTTTGTTTTATATTTGAAATTTGGGAATAATATATGCATGTATTATTAAGCAAAGTATTACAGTCTATTGGCATATCTAAATAATAAGTTTAATGATTAAGATTTGTGGTTTGTCAGATTTTATATTTATAAATTATGTTTAATTTTATGAGTTTTTAATTCTTTTTGTTTTGAGGGTTACGTCTCGCCTCGAAAAGAAAAAATGCCTCAATTCCTGATTTCACCTTTTAAAACATTGCTAAATATTTCATATTTATTATATTTGGTTATTCAATAAGAATATGGATTTATTGCCTTAAGACTAAGGATCAAACGAATAAAGGGTTTAAAGGAAGGACGGAACTCATTGAAAAAAAAACAGAAGAATTAAAAGGCTTTGAATTGATAATGAACTTAAATATTAATAAAATTCATTTAATAAATTATGTATTGATCAAGGTATAGTAGACATTTTATTCTTGTACACAAACCACAGCAAAACAAAAGAAAAAATAAAATATTAGAAAGGGTTAAATGCATGTTGTCTAGTGCAGAGCTGCCAAGCGAATTTGCGAAGAAGCTATTATGACAAACAAGCTATTTGATTAAAAGGTATTTATAGTGGCGGTGGTGTTTAATACACCCATAAAGATGTGAATTGGACATAAGATTACAATAATTTGAGGCCTTCGGTTGTGCAACTTATGCCCACGTTAGGCAAGATATATTGCTAACAAGAGCATTAAAATGTGTTCTTTTGGTATCCAGTTGAAGTGAAGGGATATCGGCAATGGTGCATAAAATTGGGCATTGAGAAGTGCACAATAAGAAATAATGAAGCTTCAATATAATTGGATTTCCATTTCTGATAAAGCCCAGTATGAATCATATTAAAAGGAAAGAATCTAAAAATAAGCTTTATTTATAGATGGAGCAATTTGTGGATGCAAATGATAAGCAGAAGATTGAAATAAATGAAAAAAAAACAGCAGACATTACATGGTAAGCAGGCTGAAAACAATTTTGAATATCAGCAAGGATATATGTTATCTCAGGCCAGAGAAGACGTCAAATAAGACCCTCTAAGAAACTTGGATTTGCTGAGACTATTGCTTATGCTTTTGTTACTTTATCTGAAAAAGACTTGGTATAACCTCCTTCATATGATGATGATGTGGATTACAAAGAAGGTGCTGATTGAATCCAGGAAATGAGATAATAAATGAATTTGTTGCATGAAAATTAAACATGGCAAAAAGTTAATAAACCTAAAAGGCACAAATTTATTGGCTACAAGTTCAAGAAGAAGATTCACACAAAGTACTTAAACAAAAATTCAAAGTATGATTATATGCCAAGGGTTTTGCATAGAAAGAAAGATTGGATTATAATTAAATATTTTGGCCAATTGCTAAGCAAACATCTATCAAAGTAATGTTGTCAATAGTCGATATAAAATAAGATTAAAGTAAGGGTGGGCCAAAGCACAGAGTGTTAGATTTTCATGATACTGATTTAATCAGATTCAAGATAACTGATCCTTAGTTTTTAATATTTTTTTCAATATTTTTTTGTCCTTTATTGTACTCTGAGGGTAATATAAAAAATCTCTAATTAAAAATTTGATTAAAAGAAAATATTCAATCTATTGTTTAAAGAAGGTCTTGGTATTCTAATTCATCCGCATTTGCTGCCTTCATTTGTCGGTAATTTTCAGTCAGGAATCAATCTAGATTTTTTTTTTTCTTTTGGCACTATTATAAAAAGTGACAGATGAGAAAAAACATCACATCCATATAATCGATAGACTCCATGGGATCCGCCATGACACACCAAATTCCGACCCTCGCCAAGAAAATAAAAGAAAGGCACCTGCCATTAACTCCCACGATAATGTAAATCGTTAACTGAAAGAAACAACTCCAAATTTAGATCGAGCAGGAGAATCAATATTCATGCTATCCGCTTAAGGGCCGAAGACACGAAAATGAATCTGGATTTCGGGTTGCAAGTAGGCTTAGGATTAGAATTAGGTTTATGGTTCGGTAGGAGCCTAACCTTTGGCGTTGAGATCATTACAATGCGCATCGGGACAGTTGAGACTGTAATATTTCTGCCGAACCTGAAGCTGACGATCGTGCATGTTTTGCAGGTAGTGCTGCCTAAGTCCCTCTCCTCCGCCTCCCCTAGTCATCGCCGGCGGCGATCGCATCTCTCCGTCCTCCTTAGACTGCGGTAGAACTTGCTCGCTGTCTATCGCTGCCGGATGCCATCAATCGCTGCCTCCGGCTTTTGTAGCGTAAAGATGGAAGTTTAGGTGTTAGATATGTAAACAGTAAAAACCTTGTAAATATGCATTAATTTATTTTTAATCAATATATTTTGCAAGATATGCGTCTAAGCACTATTACATAACATTTAAAATAAATTTAACAATTTAAATTTTAGATATTTATATTCTAGCAATTTATATTTTTGTATTTACAAATCTAATATTTGAATGTGCACCAACAAATATACCACATTCTTAATATTTACATATCTAACATCTAAACATTCATTTTTACTTGCATATCACTCAAATATTTAACATCACATCAAATATATCACAATCGCTATATTTTTAAAAACGGAAATATACAATTCTGTGCACAGATTTATAATACCATGATATTATAAATGTAAATAACAAAGTTTTAATTAAATAAGAATTGTGTGGTATGTAAATAACATTTCCTTGTCTTCTCTTCACAATACCAAACTTCATAGCAAAAAGTTTCTAAATGTCGTGCTAACAACTTTCAAAATTAAGACTTGAGGTCCAACTAAAATCCTCTTCAGATAGCACCCATACTTCAAACATTCTCGCTTGCTCAAATATGTGATCTCTAAAATTTTGGTTTAGCCTAGCTTGAACCTAACCATAAATATTGGGTCTAGCCCACATTAGACGCAATCTAAAACCTAAAATTTGGTTCAACTTAGCTTGCACTTAACCCTAAACATTTGGTCTAACCCATATTAGATTTAACCTTAACACTTAGGTTTAATCCAAGCTGAACCTAAGTTTAAGTCCATGTCGGCCGTTAAAATTCTCTTCCTTTTCAAAAAATATAGAATGTACTTTTGATGTAATTTAATATATATATATATATATATATATTGAAAATAATATTTTTAATTTTGAAAATATGAGACCGAATCGTTTTTTGAAAAATGAGGCTGGATGGATCTCATTCATTTGAAAATTTAAGTAATCGAGCACAACACAGCAAGTAACGCATCTATCCCGAGTAATATGCACATTACTTGATAGGGAGACTCGATTAAATAAACTACAGAATTTATGACATCCGTCTAGTCTGCAAACCATTTATTTTGACCAACATGTCCTCTACCTAATATTAAACATTAGATAGTGTTTATATTACATAGGTTCTTAAAGCTCTATATGAAGGCAGGCTCCTGTTGTTAATTACTTTTCAAATGAGTGAAATCATTAAAAAGAACTCTCGATGATGATCAGAGGTGACTATCTTCATGAATTCAAACTTTAGGGTTTTCAAAGTTGGACATAGAAAAGTCAAGTGGCAAATGGGACCAAACGAGAATATTTAATTTTGGAATCAAATGAAAGAAAAGTAGGGAATGTCACAAAGCCTGAGGGAAACCTCGGTGACTTTCCAAACTATTCTATTGTTTGGCTTTAATTTTGAGAAAATGTTATTTGATGTTTCATCTTGCATGTTTTATTGTTTATTACTTATATTTGCGTGATACACTCATACAAATAACCTGGAAGATGGGAGGGTTTACGTCGTATCGGACGACAGCCTTATAACTTAAAGTGAATTAGGCCTTAGATTGCACAACCTGTTGTGTAAATGCATAATAAATAAAGTGAGGATTTATGTCGCGTTAGACAGACCACATCAAAGTCCTATGGCTTATTTTTTAAACTAGGGAATGTGATGTTGTAAATCGTCATCCTCCACCTACTGTTTATCCGTCGTGTTGCCCACGAAAACTTGTTTCAAGCTCCAAACTCCAGACTTGTTTCAAGCTTCAAACCCCTTAAAATGTGCGATTTACACAGTAAAACACCATTTTTACCCTTTGAGTCACATTCAACCTCCTGTTTTTCCACCTAGGGCTCGCATTTGCTCGGAATTGGGGCGATTTAAGGCAAAGTAACTTCAGATTTCATCTTCTCTAGGTAAGAGCTACACTTTAAACTAAAAATTTTAGATGTTCACCAAGGAAAGATTTTCACCAAGGATTTATCTTACATTGCCAAGATCCAAAAATTTTGGAATTTTTTGAGAAATTTTGAGAAATTCCTTTGGTGAAGAACTCTTACTTAGTAGATTTAAGTTTAAAGCATTTTACATTGTGATTTCGGAATTTTAGGAATTTATTCAAATTTTCATCAATTTTTTTTAGATTTATCATGGCCCCAGAAACGAGTAAAGAAAAAAGAAAAGTAGATTATGTTGAACAAAAATTTGTCAGCTTCAGAGCTAGTGCTCGATTCAATAGTCTACTTGAACATAAAAAAACTAATTATGGATCGTGGTTTTAAAAACCCGGGAGGAGAAGTCGAGCGATGAATCAATGCTCGGCAGTGAGAAAATTTTTGCTATTTTATGTTATTTTATTGTCGAGGCTGCTATTGGTGTAGTGATGGAATTTTACGCCAATTTTATAGAGGCTTTTGGTGATTTTATTTTTGTTCGTGGGAAAATGGTGGAGTTTTCTCCAAGAAAAATTAAGGATTTTTATTAGTTGGAAGATGTTTACAGTTGCCAGTATAAATCGTTTTCTGCTACGAGTGAGGCTTTGGATGAGGTTATTTCTTTTCTGACTGATGGAAGAGGAACCTGGAAAGTCAAGAATGATATTAAGATAAACTTTCCTCTTTCTATTCTTAATGTAGTATCAGCGGCAAAATTTGGATGCAGATGAAGAAGAAGATGATGATTGTTGATTGATACACTAAAAATATATGCATTATTAGCCAATATTTTATACTTATTTTTGATGAAATTGCATTTTAATCGAAGGTATTTTGATATTTTCTTGCAGGTTGTTGATTTTTAGGGCTTAAAGTAAAGAGGAAGCAAAAAGGAGAAGTTTGGAGTCAAAATGACGTTTTTGAGTAAATACTCAGTGCCGGCAGCGCCAAGGTCAGCGCCGATGGCACTGAATAACCGAAAGCTGGAGGATTTTTACTCAGTGCCGACGACGCCAGACTAGCACTGACGACGCCAAAGGCGGTTCAGACCCCGTTTCTAGAAGGTTCAATGTATTTGGATGATTTTTGAAGAGTTTTTGGAGGCACCTCTTGGAGAGTCAACCTTAGGCTTTATTTGGGGTCTAATTTCATCATAAAATGGACTCCTCTACGTTCATTTTTTGCTCTATAACATTCCACCACACTACATTTTCATAATTCATCTTCATTCCACCACATATTGGAGTCAATTAGTAATTTTGCTTTCATAGTTTAGAGTTTTTGTGGTGAGATTTAGTGTGAAACTTTCTGTAAGAGTGTTGGAGAAGAAGAAGTTGGAGAAAGAGAAAATTTAAAGAGTTCTTCTACTTGCATTTCTAAAGAAATGCTACAAAGGATTTGCTTTGAGAAAGAGTTCCAGATAAGTTTGTTTGTTTATTTAGCATTGTATGAACTTTTTTTTATATATGAAACTTATGTTTTGTCGTATCTTTCTCATGAAGTCTGAGAGTTTCCTCTATCTTTCCCCCTACTATGAGATCTGGAGAAATGAAGAGATAATATGAATGTGTCATAATTAAAATATAAAATAAATTGTGATGATTTTTCAACT